CGACGTTCTGACGGCGGAAATCGAACATATCGATACCCTGGTACTGGAAGAACTGACACAAAGCGGCGTAATCTTCGAGCCTCATTGGCGAACGGTAGCAACGATACAAGACAAATTTGATCAAAAGCAACACCTAAAGAGCGCCGGCATAGCGTTAGCTGACTCGATATCTCTGGACTCTGGCTCTGTGGACGAGCTGAAGAGGGTGGCTGAAGTTTTCGACTTTCCTTTTATGCTCAAATCGCGAAGAGAAGCATACGATGGCCGAGGGAACTTACCCATCATGTCCAAGGACGACCTGGATCATGGCAGCGACTTTTGCAAAGATCGAAAGGTGTATGCAGAGCGTTGGGCTCCCTTCAAAGCCGAGCTTGCTGTGATGGCCGTCAAGACGAAGGATGGCGTCCTGTCCTTTCCTACGGTCGAGACAGTCCATGAGAACAGCATATGCAAGCTCGTGTACGCTCCAGCTCGGAACCTCTCACGAGCGACAGCAGATAAGGCACAGCAGCTAGCTAGGAAAGCAGTTGCAGCATTCGAAGGGAAAGGCGTATTTGGGGTAGAAATGTTCCTCCTTGAAAACGACCAACTTCTCATCAACGAAATCGCACCACGACCGCATAACTCGGGTCATTACACGATAGAATCATGTCCTATATCACAGTACGACGCCCATCTCCGTGCTATTTTGGACCTTCCCATCCCACCGAGTAGCCTTGAGATGCGGGAACCAGCAGTCATGCTCAACATTTTAGGATCTGCAACTGGTGGATCCATCGACCCCTTCATCACAGCCGCTCTATCCAATCCAAGAACAAGCATCCACCTTTATGGCAAAGGTCCAGCCACCACTCCAGGGCGTAAAATGGGTCATGTGACAGTCACAGCTGAGACAATGGCGGAAGCAGAGCAATTAATCCAGCCTCTCATCGATGTATTCGACAAGCACTCTGGGAGGAAACCTGCTTCAGCCACACCTTCAAGGGCCAAGGGCGGAAAAGAGGTGCCGCAAATCGCAGTGATTATGGGCTCTGACTCTGATCTTCCTACACTCGCCCCCGGTCTGACCATCCTCGATACCTTCGCAATTCCGTATACTGTGCGCATTACCTCTGCGCATCGCACTCCAGAAGTCATGGCATCATTTGTCTCCACGGCCGCCTCAACCGGTATTCGTGTGATCATTGCGGCTGCAGGGGGTGCAGCGCACTTGCCTGGTATGGCTGCGGCCTACACGAGTCTCCCAGTCATCGGGGTACCTGTAAAGGCCAGTAGTCTCGATGGACAAGACAGCCTTTACAGCATCGTGCAGATGCCAAGAGGGGTACCAGTTGCAACGGTCGCGATAGGGAACAGTGTGAATGCTGCGCTGTTGGCGGCCAGGATCCTGGGGGTCAGCGATTTAAGAGTACGAGGCTTAGTGGAGGAGTATGCGAGGAAAGCCAATGAAGAAGTTAGAGAGAAGGACAAGAGATTGAGAGAAGGGAATTGGAAGAGTTATATGGAGAAAAAGGGCTGAGGTATGGCTTATGCTTTGCGCTTTTTTGAAGTTCACCTGCAGTCATTTAGATGAGACGGAATTGTCGTTGTAGAAGATTCCGAATGCTTTTTTTCAAATGCTTGATTTGGTTATGACAAGCAAACTGTGTAAATACACCGTTGATTGATCTTCTGTCGCAATGCAAAACCTAAGACCTCGCCTGATGAAAGTGTCCACGTTCGCCACGTAAAACTTGTGTGAAAGTCCACGACTAGACCTTGAAACCCCTCGATCGTCTGCGGCCACGGGCACGCTCGAACTTCCTGCCCTTGCTCTCGACATATGGCTTCTGTAAAAGTTGTCAGCATCAGAACGATGGTCGCAGTTTCTCCCAATGTACCCACCTTGTGCGAATGCGGGCCAAAGCCGAAGTGCTTAACCGCCTCCCTAGCGTTCTTCGGGCCTCTCAACAACAGCGTATTCTGGCCCATCGGCGCCCTCAGAGCAAGCTCATCAAGTGTCAGACACTCTCCACCAGCCTTGATAATCCTTGCCCTTGCAGTCGCGGTGAAGCGAAGCGCAGCGATGGTCATCTTGGGAACCTCCATCAGCCTGTTGTCATCCGTGACAGTGCCGACAATCACAATCGTCTTGCCCTTGTGGGCTTCCTCGGCGTGCGGATTCGCACCGTTAACGACAATGCGGGAGAGAGACATAGGAGGGCGGTTGATGCGGGACATGAAGAGGCGGCGGAGAACGACCTGGTTGAATTTGGAGTCGGTGCGGCCTGCAAATGATTTATCAGACACCATTATGAATTAGAGAACCTCAATACGTACGTGCAAGGAATCGGTAGAGCTTCACGAGCAGGCGGACGTAGACGTTGTCGCTCTTGGGCGCCTTGCGGTGCGAGGCCCGCACATGATGTCTGTCGAGGTCGATACCTGCAGATATTGTCAGATTCGAGGATCTAAGTAATAATCAGAGGATATATAGGTAGTTGGTGACTTACCCATGGCGACTGGATGTTGAATGGGTTCGAGATGGTTGTCGCGAGTTCAATTGTTTGACGTTCTGAAGTTTTCGGTTGGCAGTGTGGGTTCGGATAAACGTACGCTCCGGAACAAACCATATCTTAAGCTACTTTCCCAATCAGGGAACTACAAGCCTTGCATTGAGCTTCAAAATAAGAATTACGGCAAGATTAGAAGAGAATAGGGAAGTTCATATTTCAATTCTTTCATTCAACTGTAAGATCCTCAGATCGTGCGGGGAATTTCTCAAATTAATTCCAAGAGATCTGAATTATCCTAGTCTATTATTTTCAAGGCGCTAGTCACATCTCGGTCGGTCCCAGTAGAATCTGCACACTTCCGATGCGCCCAACAGGCCAATGCATTGGTATTATTTTCATAGTCTCCACCCCGACAGATAGGTTGGGCATTGAGCCTTGGGGATGCAGATATTTCTAAGTTTGTTAACTGGCCTGATGGTCACTTGTCCATATTCAAATCACTGGCAACGGACATTCAATCCCCGCTGAGAGATTCCTGGACATCATTCACCCGGCGCAATCGGTTAGCTCCAGCATGGTCGAGCTCTCCGAGGTATAGAAAGCGAGGTGTATGCTCTCCTCATGGTGCGCTTCTCATATCTTCCAAGACGCTCCCGAACGCTAAGATGTCTTCCTCGCAGCCTATCAAGGGTCTTTTCTTCGACGTCTTCGGTACCTGCGTAGACTGGCGCGGCACAGTCACTCGTGGCCTTGAAGATGCATCAAGCAAAGCTCTCAATGCCGCTACCTCCTCAATCCCATCCGCGGTGCGAATGAAGGCTTCAAACATGACAGTGGGTGACTGGGGTACCTTTGCGCAGAAATGGCGGACTACCTACAAGGTGTTTACCAAAAAGCTGGCAGCGAATCCGGATATCCCATACAAGAACGTCGATCAACATCATTACGATAGTCTGCTTGAACTACTACAAGAGCATGCATTGGAGGGTTTGTGGACACCGGATGAGCTACATGACCTGAGCCTCATTTGGCACCGGCTTGACCCTTGGTCGGATTCTGTGAGAGGAATTGCCGAGATGAACAAGCTATTCTACACCTGCACCTTAAGCAATGGCAACACATCATTGCTTGAGGATCTGCGGACGCATTCACGCATACCATTTACGCATATTATCAGCGCAGAGATGTTTAATTCGTACAAGCCCTCACCGACAGTATATCTCGGGGGTGCAGAGAAGATGGGGCTTAAACCTAACGAATGTGCAATGGTTGCTGCTCATCTTTATGATCTCAAGGCGGCAAAGGCTTTGGGTTTTGCAGCTGTTTACGTATGGAGGCCACAGGAGGAGGACATGCCGGCTGATCAGGTCGAGCAGGCAAGGAAGGATGGGTGGGTCGACGTTTGGGTGGAGGATGGCAATGAAGGCTTTGTTACCGCCGCTGAGAAGCTCGGTGTGAATGTAAGTAAGCTGTAGAAGAGATTTTGGGGAATCCAAGAATCTATAGCACTATCTTGTGTTTTCTGAATGATACAGCTTCATTTGAAATCTTCCATAGCGACCTCTGCCCACTTCCTAGCGTTGGTAACGTAAGAGCAACATAATGTCGTCCGTTATACACTATATAAGTCTTGCTTAATCAGATATGAATTAGCATAGTGAATGTTTACGTATTTCATAGCTCCATTTCTACCTATAATCGCCTATAACCCCTCCTCCTACTGCTGCCGCGGCGACGCTCGCTTCGCCGACACTCCCCTATATAGCTAAGTAGGTAGGGATAGTACGAAGGACCTCGTTTTATATAAGGGTGTGAGACCTGTAATAGCATCTCTTTTTTATAACGAGAAGAAGCAAATCTTCTAGGGTAGGCTTGATAAGCTACTCTTATATAACATCGAATATAAACTCCGTGATATACGGAAGCTCCTTAGAAGTGCTGAAGGCAACTATAATAGAGTAGCTCTATACTGTTCGCTCGTAGGAAACTAGCTCCTTTGTAACTGAGAAAGGAAAAGCAAAAGGAGAAGGTGGAGGAGAAGGAGGAGAAGAAGGAGAAGGGCAAAAGGTGGAGGACGAGAAAGAACAAAGAAAGCTTTTCGCAATAGTAACATTTTTCGAGAGTTCCATTTCAGTTTGTCCTCTCACAACTCGAGTTTTCTACTTTGGCCCGGTAGCTTCGTAGTCCGTGCAAGTTGAATCCATCTAACGACAAATATAGCCCCGCCACAGCTTCGGAAGAAGAAGAAGAGCTCTAGGTCTTAAATTTGAGTGAGTTTCTAAAAACCTAGAAGCTACTGATGGAATATTTCATCCCTCTGTTAATACCTAACTGGAATTTGTCTGATTATTGTACAAAATCACCGAGTTTTCGTCCATGGGAGAAAGGTTCCCGCCGTGGCCCGGCTCACCACCGCCACCAAAAATGTATTTTCTTCACCACTACAGCCCAAAAAATTAATTTAAAATTTGCAGAATGATAGGAAATGCAACTTTTAAAAAGATATACTCCGTACGGGATTCGAACCCGTGACATCCGCATGACTATTCATACGAGTGCAAATGACTAGTATAAGAACGGCGCGCTACCTCTGCGCCAACTGGCCTTTTATTAGCTTTGATTGGTCAAAGCCGGGGAGAATTTGCTCACCGGAGTCAGGCCTGAAAATCAAGCCACTAGGAAAGGCTGCTATTACATATAGATATGACAATATCACTAAATAAACCCTCCCTTGCCCCAGGGAAGATAATTGAACAACACCGTAGTATTTTTGTAAATAAAATAAGTCAGAAGGATATTTTAGCTACTCAGTTCTAATATGCACTTTTCATAATTAAAATATAACTATTAGGGAGCACGTAATAACAATATAAAAAAGTCAGTTTTCTGCCGTTTCTTCGGAACTTGCATATGTCTTGAGACTATCGCTTATATCTCACCACATTAAGATATTATAATTTAAAAAAAAATTAAGAGTAGACATTTAAGTATACTAAAGTTATATTTTCCAAATTTATAATAAATTTTTTCCTCGTCGCCGTTGCGAAATATAAAATAATACGGCAATCATAGGACTCGGACCCAACTGTGTTGCTGCCCCACCAACCCAACCCCCCCGGCGCACTGGAGTCGAGATTTCAACGTCACCTCGATCACACAGAATTCACATCTACATCTGCCTAAATGTTAAGGCCTTCCAACAACGTCGAAGTTACTTTCAGGTTTCGCATACAGGCCACTTACGCGCTCTGGTAATCCAGGAGCTTCCTTACAGCGAAGGACTGAGGGCCAATATGATCCTAGCCCGCGCCGTCGATGACTGGAACGAGGCTGAAAGCTATCGTCTAGAAGAAGCACGCCTCGCTAACCAACTGGTATTCGGGCTACAAGGACGACTTCTTCAGTCAAAATCACATGTGTCTGATACCGTTGTCTTACGATCGCAGACGGTCGGAGCGGACAGAATTTCTTCACTAAGATGTTATTACGAAGGCGCTAGTTTGCTGCGACTGAACAGTCTACAGAGCTACTATATTACAGTCGCCTTCAGCATGTTTAAGAAGCTTCTACATAGTGGTAAGTTTACATTCGAGATTGTCAGGGAGTAGCTTATCAGGCCTGCCTTAGAAGATTTACTTCTTATGGTGGCGGAAAAGAGACGCCGTTGCAGGTCTCATTCCCTCACAAGAAACTAACTCCTTCGTGCAATGCGATCAGATTATCATCCTGTCCGAGCCGTTTGGATTGCAATGCATGCACTGGTCACGAGCCCATGCCGTCAAAAAGACTTTGTGGCATTGCAGAGGTAGATTGAATGTGCTAACAAATATGTGGGGGGGGAGGGACCATTTGGGGCTCCCATCTTAACGTGGAGCTACCTTAGCCAGCTTCACTCTATTCTACTCACACCATGCTCTATAAAGTGATTTGGCGAATACCAATTCCCGTGGACGGCTCCGCGTTCTGACGGCTTAGAGTACTGTTGGAGAGGACAGTAACAATTCACGTATTAAGTTGAATGATCGAGCCAAATTCTTGCGTATTGGCACGGTTATACAGAGGAAGAGTGAAAAGTGTGCCCATTAAGGTATGAAGATAAGTCTGCGGCGTCACTTGAGCCCGAAATGATGTTATGACCTTTGATTGTGGGAAAGTCTAAAATGCACGGGCCGCCGCTGGCTGCAGTTAAATATCTCGCTTTCACTCGACTTCCTGCTTTCTTCCTTTCCCTCTCCACAGTTGAACCATAAAACATGGACATCAACAACGCGCACGATATATGCGCACAACTTGTTGAGTGGCGAAGAGCCACTCCACTAAACACTATAAGGGTGCCACAGCATCCTTCAGAGAATGGGACAAGGTCTCGTTCTCTACCACCACCAGAGCGTGACGCGACGCCTAAAAGGCCTCTCGTCCCCTCTCAGGAAACAACAGAGCCTGTTCCGGCGCCCAAAAGGCCCCTCAACAGCTCTCAAGGCTCCACTCATGGATCTAATGATCCAGAGGACGTCTCAGGGCCGGCAGAAGACGCGACAAAGTCGCGGAATCTGCGCTTTGCCCCGGAAGATTGGAAGCCTTGGGTTGCCGCTGGTAAGCCCAAGTGTCCCTATGGCTTCCCTCATCCACCAGGCTATTGTGAGTCCCAAAACTGCGATGCTAAACGCAAGCAGAAGGACTCCAACAAGGCCCAACAGGCAGCTGCCATTGCTGCTAAGGATGCAAAGAAGGGCGCAAAGCGCTCTCTCGATGAGGATACTTCTGGTGTCCCATCTCAGCAGAAGAGAAGGAAGCCGAGCAACTTTTGCCAAGATTGCAAAGGCTTCCATAAGCCGAATCCAGATGGTTGCCGCGTTTCCGTGTGCACCAACTGCGGCTTCAGGCACATGAAGGCAACTCTGTGCCCTTCTCCAGCAGCTGCCCCAGCAGCCGCTCCAGCTTCTGTTCCAGAAGCTCCAGGGAACTTCGCTACGAACATGGCCTATATCATAAGCCATGCCACGAGCGCAGAGGAGCTCGACGGAGTTCTTAGCGTACTCCATACGCTACATCCCCGCGAACCCCATCGCGGTAGCGGCTCGGGTCCCTGGGACTCGGGTCCGGACTCCTGAGAGTAAACCCACAGGAAAAAATCTCTGCTCATAGAGCAGACCTCAGCGATGTGCTCACACCTTTACGTGGTGCTGGGGATAAGTACCTTTACGGGAAACCAAGATGAGCACTCAACACAATTTCTTCTAATAATTAGACATAACTATTGATACTGATTTAACTGAGCCGCCTTGAAAATTACAGCTTTGCACATCTGCACATCTGCACACAATACAACACAAGTCACAGCTTCCCTCGTATATAGTACATCCCATTTAGATGACAGTAGTGACCAAGTAGCATTATGGTAGCAACAAATAGAGCAATATCCATTATCTTGTTGAAAAATTGCACTGAAACATGTTTTATACTAAAGGATAAAACTTGCTCTTACTGGCTGTTGAATTCGCCGTGCTCAACTTTTGTCACCGCGTCGTGGGCGTGCCGTCGATGCGGAAGTTGGGTTTGGTGCCAATCCAAAATTGGCTTAGCGTAAGATTGAGCTATCGACTAACCCTCTACTTCGTTTCGCGTCATCCAACTCATCTTCTCGACATACAATCAACACTTCACGCTTCGGTCTTAAAAAAGATGTTAAGACCTTTCAACAATGTCGAGGTTGCTTTCATCTTTCGAATACGTGCCGCTTACGCGCTCTACGATACGGAACGTCATCAAGAGTGTGTCGAGCAACTCATGGAGCTGCTCTGGGAGCCCGAACTTCCTTACAGCGAAAGACTAAGGGTCAATATGATCCTAGCTTGCGCTGTCGACGACTGGGATGGGGCTGAAAGCTACCGTCTAGAGGCGGAAAGAGTGTACCAGCAAATCCGTCAGCGTTGGCCTCTTGGTTCCGAGATTGCAAACCAGTTTCCCGATCAAGAGCGCATGCTCGACTCCGCGAGACAGAGTCTCGACAATATTGCAGGCGATCAGTTGGAGGCAAGGCCTTCACCATCCGCAGAGCAAGATCAAGAGCAAGATCAAGGTGATACAGAAATCACGGATGATCTTCTAGAGGCCATGGACGCATTGGACGTAGGCATGACTTCCAATGTGGATATGGCTTCCGACACGGAGTCTCTGCCGGTCGGTCCTACTCTTCAGACTGCTTCTCAGCTCACAGCTCCAGCATCACTTGAATGGAGTGGTGCGATGTCCCAGGGCGAGTCATCTATCGGTTACTCTGACCCTATAGATGAAGACGTGACGGTGACTTTAGATGAGGAGACTAAGGAGTCTCCGAAGCCTAAAGAAAGCACTGACGACTCATGACATCTCGAGCCATGCGAGCGCCTTTTTGCATGCTAGCTTCTTAAGGTTCAGGCAATCATAGCCTCGAGCCTTCCAGCGTTTCGTTCAGCCAATAAATGCGGCTAACGGCTTCGCTCAGCAGTGAGAACCATGACAGCATACTTATGGTGTCTTGTTATCATTGCTATTTACAGCGCGCAGCGGAACTAGTCAAAGACTTTGATTTGCTGAACGCTCTGTTTGTGACTATACGTTACAAGCCAACCCCGGCGATAACTCAGCACCTCTAGCAGCTCTCATTGTTGCACGGTGTCGGGGACTAGTAGTCTCGTTGTCGAGGCGAAGCTAAGACTGAGTTCAGTTAAGTTACGAGATGGTAAACAGTTCATCAATCCCCTCGTTTGCTATTTGTTGTATGTTCAATGTTTTGCTGAACCTCTTATAAGCTTACTTTTAACGTACGATAAGCAAATAGCCTCAAATAGCGAGCACACGCATTGAAGCCAGCTAGCGAGCACCCAAGCCAGTCAGCGTGCATCGAAGCAGCAGGCACTTAAGCCAATTTCGTGCCCTTCTCCAGCAGCTGCACTCATCTCGCGCAATTTGGAGTTTCCGAATCTGGGAGACACCGGCACAGGAAGGACTGACGAACGACACCCAATCACCGCACTGGAAACTTGTACTAGCGACCATGATGGGTTTGTAACAGAGACTAGGCTAGACCTATCTCTCGACAGTATCTTCTTATGCGTTCTTTGAAAATCCAGTCTGGTGCGCGCAAGCTGCCTCCTGGTCGCCTGGCTCAAACCAGGTGACGTTGCATTGTATGCCAACGTTGAAACCAATACATCTTCCAAATGCGACCTGCCGAGTACTCAGCAACTCATTTCTATTATCCTGCTAATGATTCCCTGCTAGCTTACATGTATACTTAGTATTGGGGTGCTGCATATATGGTGAGGTCGCTCCTTCCACCGAAGGTCGTGCCTGCCCGTCGTCCAACTCCACCGCACGACGTATTCTGCCGCCCACTGTCACAAACGGTTTCAACTCTCTTTGAATCCTGTCGGTAAAGTATTCGCACATTTGTGCATTGCATCAGAAGCCACATCATTCACAACACGGCGGCAAGCAGGCAGAAGCATCTCAATTCCGCTCGATTCTCTACTCCTCCTTGCACTTGCAACAACGTACCTGTGCATGCTCTCTCTCTCTCAAGACAGGCATGTCTCAAACATCAGACTACGACTCCTTTCCGA